AGCTACCTTGTGTAGTCAAATTTATAGAGATAGAATGTAGAACAGTGGTTACCAGGAGCTAGGGTAGTAAGAAATGAGCAGTCATTGTTTAATGGGTATAGAATTTTAGTACAGGATGATGAAAAAGTTGTGGAGATGGATAGTAGTGATGGTTGCACAATAATGTGAATGTACTTAAAACCACTGTAGTGTATAATTAAAAATGATTAAAATGGTAACTTTTATGTTATGTATATTTTACCACAAAAAGAAAGAAAAACAAAACTCTCCCACTATTCTGCAAACTTTCTAACTTTAACAATACATCATGACTATTTTCCTGGTCAATAAGTATGAATCTAATTCTTCCTTTTTAATAACTGCACAATATATCACAGGAAGGGTATGTTATACTATGTTTAACTACTCTCATATTGACAAACATTTGCTATTATAAATAATGCTGCAGTCAGAATTTTTAGGTTCTTATGATATATTAGTTCTGTACAATGGAGTCTTTAAACTGTGATTACCAGGCAAAGTAAATAGTATATTTAGATCTTCCTTTAATCTATTTTTAATTTTTGTTTGTTCATAGTGTAAAGCAGAAAAAAATATGTTTTGCAGTAGTTAGATTATGAATTTGGCTGCATATAACAAAAGTCTCCAATAGCTGTGACTTATACAGGGTATAATTTTATTTGTCTTTTACATATCAGTCAAGATGGGCATCCCAGGACTGGTATGGAGACTATTGCAGGAGATCTAAGAATCCAGCCTCTTTTTATTCTTACTCCACCATTCATTTTTGTGGTTCAGGATGGCTCACTGCCATGTACACATTTCAGTCTGCAGGAGAGAAGGAGAGAGGATGGACATATCCACTTCCTTTCAGGACTTCACCTAGAAGTAACCTGTACCACTTCCACTCATAGCTTATTGTCCTGAGCTTAGTCACATAACCCATCCTAGCTAAAAGGGAGGCTGGAAAAAAACTGTACTCATTCTGAGTGGCCATGTGCCCAATTACTAGTACCATGATAGCCAACGGGAGATTGGATAATGAGCAATTCTATGATAAGATCTTCCAAAAGAATAGTCAATTATGTCAGCAATATTTAAACCATTTTCCATTGAATTAAAATGCCATCCTTGTATAGATGTTTCTAGATGCCAATCTGTTCCACTATTATATTAAAATAGCTTTATATAGTTGTTAGCTGTTCTTATTACATTAATTTATAATTGTTGATATACTAGAAATTTATCTTTTGTTAACTGTTTGATTTAAGCTATTTGATTTACATTATTTTTACAGATCAAGTTAAAGGCAGTCAAACTTATTTTTTGAAAACGGGTTTGTCCTGGTACTTGGATATTATAATTTGAGGCAGAGATAATTTTCTTAGTTCTAATTTTTCAGTGTTAAGAAGCATCGCTCTTGATGGGCACTTAGGTTGCTTCCATATTTTGGCTATTGAAAATAGTGATGCAGTGAACTTAGGGGGTGCATGTATCTTTTTGAATTAGTGTTTTGGGTTTCTTTGGATAAATACCCAGAAGTGGAATAGAAAGATATGGAATAGATATGTAATGGAATATTACTCGGCCATAAAACTGAATGAAATCTTACTATTTGCGACAACATAAATGGACCTACAGGGTATTATGCTAAGTGAAATAAGTCACACTGAGAAAGACAAATACCAAATGATCTCACTTATATGTGGAATCTAAAGAACAAATAACAGAACAAACACAACAGAAACAGACTCCTAGATACAGAGAACAAACTGATGGTTGCTGGGTGGTGGTGGGGGTTGGGAGGCTGGGTAAAATGGTGAGGGATTAAGAAGTACAAATTGGTAGTTACACAATAGTCACGGGAATGTAAAGTACAGCATAGGGAATATAATCAATAATACTGTAATAACTATATATAGTGCCAGATGGGTACTAGACTAATCAGGAGGATCACTTCATAAATTATATAAATATCTAATCACTATGCTGTTCACCTAAAACTGATATAAAATAATATTGAGTGTCCACTGTAATTGAAAAATAAAAATAATTTTTAAAAAAGAAGCTTCGCTCTTCCTGTAAGTGTCCTGAGGTGACCTCTGAAAATCGTTCACTATTCACTTGATCCAGAAAACCCCACAAAATCATGCAAATCAAGAGGTTCAAATCTTTGTGTTCACTTTAAGAACACTCGTGAAACTGCCCAGGCCATCAAGGGTATGCATATCCAAAAAGTATGTGAAGGATGTCACTTTACAGAAGCAAAGTATGCCATTCCTTCAGTACAATGGTGGAGTTGGTAGGTGTGCCTGGGCCAAACAATCAGTGGCACTGGACACAGAGTTGGTGGCCCCAAAAAGAGTGCTGGATTTTTATTGCACATGCTGAAAAATGCAGAGAGTAATGCTAAAGTTAAGGTTTTAGATGTAGACTCTCTGATCATTGAGCACAGCCAGGTGAAAAAAGCTCCCAAGATGCAGCACAGAACTTACAGGGCTCATGGGAGGATTAACTCATACATGAGCACCCTGACATGATCTGTACTGAAAAAGAGCAGATTCTTCCTAAACGAGAAGAGGAGGTTGCACAGAAGAAAAAGATACCCCAGAAGAAACTGAAGAAACAAAAACCACCTGGGAATAAATTCAGCATATGATAAAAGCAAATAAAAGTAAAAGCAGAGGGAAAAAAAAAAGCATTTCTATACATCAGTAACTACTGGTGGTCACACATTTGTTTCATCATCATAGCCTTAGAGGAAAAGAAAACTTTACTAAAGAGAAAGCCTAACCGTAGCAGGGATCTGGCAAATGGGAACAGAATTTCCCAGGGTACCAGGTATCCAGGACTCCACCTTATAATCCATTCAAAAAACAATGGGTGTGAGCAAGTGCCAGGATGAGGCCTGGTGGTGAAATCAATTTCCAAGTTCGAAAATTAAAGAGGTGCTCTCCCAGGTCTGGCTCTGGAACATTATCCATCTAAGTGTGTGGCTCCACTTGCCTTTTAACTAATAGCAGTGCCTCTCTGCCATTATCTTCTTCCACCAAGCCTCATCCACTCTTTTTTTTTTTAAGATTTTATTGGGGAGTTGGGAGAGGGGAACAGACAAGTTGCTGTCCTTTTTTTCTTCAGTGTAGTTGTGGAGGACATTGCTTCACTAGCTGGTATTATCATTGCGCTCTTCCCGGGTGAGGCAGATTGGTCACCAGCCTCTGGACAGCCGCTCATGGCGGCTATTGGCAGCTCACACCAGCTGCCGGCTGCTCACGCTGGCTGCCAGCCACACACGGTAGCTTATGGCAGCCCTGCAGCAGGGGCTGCAGCCTACGCCATCACTGGCAGCTCACAGCAGCCCAGCTCCAGGTCGAGCTGTTGTTCACCATCTTAGCTGTAGAGGGCAGTGTCACTGGCCTCCATGTGGGATCTGAACCGGGGCCGTGGCTGCTCAGAGCTGGTGTCCCAAGCCAGCTCTTAACCAACATGCCACTCGGCCGGCTCTCATTTACTCTTTTAAAGAGGGAAGATTTGCTCAGGTTTGTGCCTTATCCTCAAAAGTGCCTTCCTTTGACTTTCTTTAGAAAAGAAAAGCCATTTGATCAAAAGAAGATGCACTTAGGATCCTGTCCCCCTCCACCCTGCCAGCATATATTCTTTGTCTTTCCTTGTAAATACAGCATCTCTTCCAGGAAGCCTTTCTTGGTTTCCAGTGACCTCAACAATGGATAAGCTGGAAGGCATCTTAGAGATCTGGAGGGGAGGTTCTCAACCCTGACTTCCTCTGTCACCTGAGAAGCTTGTAAGAGCCACATCTGCCATCACTCCTCCCCAGGTTCTTTTTTATTATTTTTTTATTTTTTAAAGATTTTATTGGGGAATTGGGGAAGGGGAACACACAAGTTCCTGTCCTTTGGTTCTCCAGTCTAGTTGTGGAGGACGTTGCTTCACTGGCCCATGTTGGTATTATCATTGCACTCTTCCCAAATGAGGCAGATCTGGGTCGCAGGTTACTGGACAGCCGCTCACGGTGGCTCTTGGCAGCTCACCCTGGCTGCCGGCTGTTCACGCCGGCTGCCAGTCACTCATGCCGGCTGCCAGCCACTCACAGTAGCATATGGCGGCTCACTGCAGCTTCACTGAGCCTATGCTGTTGCTGGGGACTCAGGGCAGCCCAGCTCCAGGTGGAGCTGTTGTTCACCATCTTAGCTGTAGAGGGCACAGTGTCACTGGCCATAGTGTGGGATCGAACCGGGGTCCTGCTGCTCAGAGCCGGCTTCCCAAGCCAACTCTTAACCAATGCACCACTTGGCCGCCTCCACAGATTCTTATCAGTAGGTCTCAGATGGAGCCTTAGCTCTTGTATTCTTGCAACTTCCACAGGAGATTATGAGCAACAGACAAAGTGGGAAACCATTCAATTAGTCCAGCCCTTAACTTACAGATGAGAGCATTGAGATCACATGATGCTACAAGGAAAATCATGCATTCCTTAGTAGGAAGCAGCTTTTTCAAGGCAGAGACTTTCTCTCTTTTGCAGCTCTGACTCCAGCACCTAGAACTGTGCCTACCAAGCATGTGGCAGATTTGTTGACTGACTGACTGACTGACAGACTGACTGACTGACTGACTGACTGAATGAATGAATGAATGAATGAATGAATGAATAAATAAATAAATACATGTGACACCAAGCTTAAACTACAAAACTGGATTCTGGTCCAGGATATGACACAGTCTTCCTTACGACAGCCTCTGCTCTGTAATTGCTTTGCCTCATAGGTCACATTTGGGCGCAGTCTGCTCTGGTGCCCAGAATGCGCCCCTGGTGGAGCACTCACCTTAGGGAGTGTCTGGGGCCAGGGACCTCAGCTGGAAGTCAGGGGTGTGGAGGAAAGCGAGGGCTTTGAGAAGGGAGGCCCAGCATGCGATCAGGGGCGGGAAGGGGCGGATAGGGGCGGGGAGTGCCGGCTGTGGCTCGGCTGGGACAGGCGGGCGGGGCTCACGCACCTGCTCTGTGGCGGCAGCACTGGGAGGACAAGAGGCCAGCGGACTGCTCGGGGAGCTCAGCGTAGGTGAGATGGCCGCTGTGGGCAGGGGGCTCGGACGCGGACGGTGCTTGGACGGGAAGGGGACTCGGAGTGGGAAAGGGGCTCGGACAGGGCAGGGGCAGGAGGAACTGGAAGGCTCAGAGTTGGGGGAGCTCCCGCGGCGCCCGCGCCCTCTAGCTGATCGCCGGCGATCCTAGAATGAATTTGCTGCTTCCCCGGTGTGCTGGGTCCCCCATGTTGCCGGGTGAGAGGAGCTTCAAAGTGTGAAGCCTCTGCCTTCTAGTCCACCCCGAGGATTCGAGGACACCGGGGCGGTGATGGCTCGTGTCTGGCCCAGAGACCCAAAGCTGCTTTCAGTGGGCTCCACGTGGCCTTGGGCACCTACACTCCTACTGTCTCTCCTCGTTAGTCCCTATCCGCAGATACACCAACCAGATACTGTCCTTAGACCAGGAAGCCTGAAATCTAATAATAAGAAGCGATTGATTAAGTCCTCCGAGCCATTATTCCTCTTCCGCTAATAGGCCAGTGGGTAGAAACGATTGTCAGGAGCAGGGGTGAGGTTAGCAATGGCTAGAGAGGTTTATGTGAGACCTAAAAATAGGTTTAGGTGATTCTGTCTGAGTCCAGAGGGAGAACCTCTGGAGATACGACCTAGCCCTAGATGTAAGAAAGATTTGTTGCAGCAGAGGAAACCTATGGCTTTATGAAACAGATCATTTTAAAATTTAGGAAGGCACCTCCTCTAAAAGTCACAGAAATGACCATTTCCTTCACATTCTCTTCTACTATGTCCCTCGGCGTCTGCTATTGTTCCCCTCATCGCTGATCACTTGCCCCACCTACTGCTCTTTCTGGCTTACGAAATGGCTTAAGAATTGTACCTGTATTTTTACATTCATTTTAATAGGTAGTATGGCTTAGTGTCATAAGAAACATGTACCGTTTTTAACCGGATGTGCAACACTGTAGGGGAGAATCATGATACACTGTGAGATATGGGGCCAGTCCTGTTTCAGACTGAGTTCTCCATGACCGAGCATTTGTTGGCTTAATAATAATTTAGTTACCCTCTGGTCCTACAGTTTCTGGAACAGATATGGAACTGATATGAAGGCTTTACTGATATGAACATGGTCCCTTGGTTTCAGAAGGGGACAGTGCCAGACACAAGCAGAGAGAGACGTGATTTCTGGTCGCGCGTTATTTGTTCCAGTGTTTTGGGAGCCAAGCATTCAATTTCCTTTTTAAAGAGTTTAATTTCTTCTCACTTCTTCCATGGGAGGTAGAAACAGTACCACTGCTTCCTTATCTCATACTTTGTGTTTTCCCTTATATTCTGTGGGTTCCTCCCTCACCCATCTGGTGGATGTTGGTTGTGATGGCATTGGTGAAGCTATCGAATCTCACGTTTGGTACCAGTTATTCTATTTGGTGTCTTCCCCAATTTGTCCTTGGTTATGTCTCTTGCCTAATCTTAGCAAAAAGCCCTTTGAGATAGTCAGGATTTGGCAAGGGCTGGGGGAGAAAGGGGATAAAAAGAAAGAAAGACTTCTGCTTTCTTATCTCTTCACATCATTCAAATTAACATCAGCTGTCATGTTTAACTGGTCAAAGTACAGATGTTACCTGTGTTGGCTATAATCAAAGGATTATCTCTTTTCCTCATATGCACCTGCTGGTTGGAATGGATAAGGGAGGTTTTACTATATAGAGAGACACTCCCGTAGCCAAAGTTCCTGTTATTGCAAAACTTTTTATAATTGTGGGTACAAGAACTAAAGTCACTACTGTGTCATCAACTAATGATTGCATATGGAGACAGAGTTCATATCTATACTTGTTTCTATAGACAGGTCATAAAACAAAAACTAGATTACTCACAATACTATACAATACTGATTATGAACAATTAGAGGCCATAGGTAAGTGCTGTAATCTCCACACTTCACTTGAACTCAGCTTCCTTTTAACCACCCACCCTCTCCTCCAAACCTTTAGTGGGGCTAGAAAACAAACAAAGATGATTTTAATTTTAGCTGTTTTTGTTTCTCTTGTCTGTTCTCTTGCGTAAAAATAAAATGGGTCACAAAAGAGAAGGAAACTCAAAAGATCTATCAGCCTTATGTGATGAAGAATTAAACTGAAGATATCAAAGCCCACTCATGTATTTCCCTTGCAGGATTTAGATATTATAACCCATTATTAATATATTGCTGGTATCAAATCATAAGGGGGCTTTACAAAGGTGATTTCCATAAGCAGCACTGTGAGGGAAGAGAAATAGGACGTCATAAGTGAGGAAATCTAAACTTAGAAACACTGATTCTCTGGCCTGAGCTTACCCATACGTTAAGTGGCAGCCAGGTCTCAAACCAGAACTTCTTCCATAATACCACAGCTCCCTCCAGGGTGGTTATGTTGGTTTGTTTATTTAATTTGGGGGTGAGAAGTTGTGATTTGTTTTTCCTGAACATTTATTAATATATTCTCTGAGTTGAACTCTTAGAATCTAAATTTAGAGACATTCTTATTTGATATATTTCATGACTATCTTTGTTCAATGTAATCACAAAAATATTTTAGAGCTGAGAATAGCCTTAAAGATTATCAAGCCTAATCTTCTTGTTTTCCAAAGAAGAAAAGTGGATTCAGGAAAAATTAAGCAAGTGCCCCATGTTGCTTCCCCAAATCTACTTTGCTGAAGAATTACAGCTAAAACCTAGATCTTCCAATGTTCAGACTACTGTTCCTTCTGGCATGTGGTCCCTTGAGGATTTCCTAGCTACATAAATCAAGTGGTTTAGTCTGATTCACTCTAGTGCTCTGGGGTCTGTGACAGCAAACCATAGCCTCCCTGAATCCTGGACTCAAATATCTGTAGATTCTTCTACACTAACTGTACTCCACGTTCCACGAAGAAAAGAGCCTTATTTGTCTGGCCCATTGTGTTTGTTATTCCTAGCACAGTGTCCATAGCACAGAACACAATGAAATGTGTTCAATGTCTATCAAATAAACATTTGAACAAGTGTGAGATGTTACTAGGACTTCATTCAGCTACAGTAACAGAAAACTCTACCCCAGTGACTTAATTAGGGGTTTGTTTTTCTCAAATAACTGGATGTCTGGAGGTGAGCAGTTCAGGCCTGTGACAGGCTCCTTCTGTCTTCGCGCACCACCATCCTTAGCTTTTGTCCTCACTGAGAGAACAACAGGCACCTCTTCTGTGCTTATCAAAGGGCAGAAGGCATGTACCAGCTGCGTCTGTCCTTTTTTTTATATATATAATAACATCTTTCCTGAAAGCCCTACCCAAGTCGACTTCTTATATCGCAGTCATTTAAGAACTTTGTCCCACTCCTAACTGTAAGAGAGCCTGAGAAAATTTAATGTTTAAGCTGGACATGTTGCCAATACAAAAAATAGGGATTCTGATAATAAGGAAAAAGGGGAGAATGGATATTGATTAGGTAGACAACTAGCAGAGTCTGCCCTAATATGTTTCATGAGTCGTTGACTCTTTGTCTTTGCATAGATTATTTGTTTGTTTAGTTAGTTAGTTAGTTCTTTGGTTTACTAAAAAGCAATAGCTAATGCAGTAGGTCTAGGGAAACTTTTTTAAAATGATACATTCTGAAGCTCGCCCCTAAAAATGCTGATTATTTAGGTCTGGAATGGGTCTATAGATCTGAATAATAAACTGGCCCTCCTGATCATTGAAATGCAGGAGGTTGCAGGACCATAACTTGGAAAACACTGAATTTGAGGTGGTTTAGCAAAGCCAACTTCATTTTATTTCCAACAGCTTTCTGTATCACTCCTCTTGAGGATATTACTTCCTTTTTTAATTTCCTATTTTGGTCAACATCATAAATGTATAGTATTAAAAGTCATAAGTTCTGGGCCAGCCGAGTGGCGCGATGGTTAAGAACTGGCTTGGGACGCCAGAGGGCCCCGGTTCGGATCCCACATATGAGGGCCAGTGACACTGCCCTCCACAGCTAAGATGCTGAACAACAGCTCAACCTGGAGCTGGGCTGCCGTGAGTCACCGGCCACAGCGTAGGCTGCAGCCCCCGTGGCAGTGAGTTGCCATGGGCTACCGTGTGTAGCCAGCAGCCAGCATGAGCGGCCAGCAGCCGCAGTGAGCAGCCGTCCAGAAGCCGGCGACTGATCTGCCTCCCAGGGGAAGAGCGCAATGATGGTGCCAACTTGGGCCAGTGAAGCAACGTCCTCCACAACTAGACTGAAGAACAAAAGGACAGCAACTTGTCTGTTCCCCTTCCCCCAATTCCCCAGTGCTGTTCCCATCTCCCTATTTCCTCAATTAAAAAAAAAAAGTCGTAAGTTCTAAGGTCTTTTTGGAGTCTGTACTGAGCTGCCCCTTGGAGGCAACTACTTTTTAAATGCTTTGGGCTATGTTTTTTTCAATGTTTACCACCATATTCCCAAATAGCATGCTACTGGCTATTGCTTTTTTTTTTTTCCAGTTCTAGATATCTACGCATTTCCTACCGTGGAGGGTGAGGATTTAGCTTCCTCATGATTATATCTCACATTCACTTCCCTTTCTTGCAAGGTTCCAGTATAGTTATATCCTAATTTTTTTTGATATAGCAATGTTTAGTGTTTACATTATTATAACTATACCAATGTGATTCACAACTGAGCCTTGTAATAAACCATCATTTTTATACTTCCTTTCTTGTACCTTTTTCTATCCCCTGGAGTTAGTAATTGCTTCATCTTCTTCAATTGCTTAGTTGTTTGAGTACTCATTATTCATTCTTGCTCAAACTTTGACAGGATGGTAAAATTCCTCTCAATAGGGTTAAACATCAAGTAAAAAGCCACTTTGATTTTTTCTGTCTTGGAAACATCCCTGCTCACCCCTTCCACCCCCCTTTTTCTGGGACTGGTTATTCTCTCAGCCCCTTTTGATCCTGGGAGCTCCCCACTATCACCCTGGGAATTGTCCTGGATTCCCGTTTCTTGAATTCCATGCCTTCTCATTCCTTCTCG